TTGCAGAATCGACTTTAGCTTCCCATAATAACGTCACCGTTAAATGCGTTTTGTCCTTTACTGGCACCCGTAGAAATGACGAGGAATGTGATGATGATGTAATATGTGTGTGACTGGTGAAGTCAGCCTGTAGTCCAATCTCGTGCTTCTCCGTCAGGATGGTAATGTAAAACAAACTACTTTGCTTTTATAGTTATTTAATCGTGATTCGTGTATGATATCGTGTTTTCCTCATAAAGAAAGAGCATGCGGTTTACTGCGATTGTGAAGAAAATAACAGCGCACACTAGAAGATGAGAACGAGAGCAGCAAAAACATGTCATGTCATCCGCCCAGTCAGTTCAGCACAGTTTATAGTCTGGGTTAAAATTAATCTGTCAGACTGCAGTTTTTGAATTTATTGGCAGAAAGTGATGACGACAACTTTATTTTGCAGGGGACCCAGGTTAAAGACGTGATCATTAAACCTGATGCTCCAAACACGCTCCTCCTAGACAAGCATGCCGACTATATTGCAGCCTATGGCTCCAAGAAGGATGACTATGTAAGTTGATGGCTTACAAAAATGCAAAAAATGGTTTTCCTTCAAAAAGCAATAAAATCAGAGGTTAATCCCCATGTATTCTGCACCATCTCCTGCAGGAGTACACGCTGTCAGAGTACTTGAGAATGAGTGGCATCTACTGGGGTCTGACAGTGATGGATCTGATGGGTCAGCTGTCTCGAATGAACCACGAGGAGATCATAGAGTTCATCAAGTCCTGCCAGCATGACTGCGGAGGCATCAGCGCCAGCATCGGCCACGACCCTCATCTCCTCTACACCCTCAGTGCTGTACAGGTCAGCAGGAAGCTGCTAAATCTAGAAGGCAATCATAATAATTAATCAATGATTCTAAAAATGAATCCATGAAAAGATGTGTTACTCCCTTTAGATCCTGTCGTTGTATGATAGCATTAATGTCATTGATGTGGACAAAGTGGTGGACTATGTTAAAGGACTGCAGCAGGAG